CCCGCCCCCCCCCCCCTTGTAAGTCACTACATAGTATTGCTGCTGTTTGTGTATATTTTTTGTGTATTTGCTAATTTTTATTAACTTCTAGTTTTTCATTAAATAAATATGACTTTCTTTTCTGTAATTCAGGTTTTTCTCTTTTTTGTATCTTCTAAAAATTAATTACAGGTGTCATCTTTTGATATGCATAATTGCTATGGTAAAACTTATATTTCTGTATGTTTGGTAAATTTTGTCTCTTTCCAGTAGTCGATTCATTGGTGATGCTGTTCTTAATTGAGCTATTTTGTGAATGTACTGAACTCGAAAGGAGTACATATGTTCAGAGATGTATCAGGAAAGAAAGCTCCTTTAAAAACAGGTCTAGATGTTGTTGTACTTTGAGTTATCTTCTAACAAAAATGAACAGTTACTAAGAATTTTCCGAATTTAAAAAAGTAATAATTCACGTTTCAAAGTTAGAGACGCTTAGAAAGTTGATTGCATCCTTGTACTTGTTGGTTTTGCAGTACAAAGAAGGTATTGTCTTACACAGTATTTGTAATTATAAAAACAGACCATTTGTTTAAAAAAAAAAAAAGGCAGTCAGAATGAGATGTTTTCAGTCTTTTTATATTTGTCATTAAAAGAATATCTGGCAAATTAAAAAAACACAACTTTTGCTTTTTGCTTTAGCTCAAAGTTTGACACATTGATGCTCAGTTTCTTGTCTTCACTTCTTTTGGTTGTTACTGAAGTAACTGTCTGGGACTGGTTTTTGTATTTCATGTTAGTGACACGATACACCTTACAATGCAAACCATCTCTTGCAGTTGTGGTTCACCAGCCATAAAGGCTTCTGGAGGATACCGGGCTTTATGCAGGCTGCCCACATCTGAAAACTTTAACCATGAATGTGAACGGTACTTGTGTTACAAAACAGAGAGACGGAGAAAAGAGTAAGGTGAAAAGCTGTTTCATCTCCAGCTGTTTGAAGAAATCTTTGTCAAACCTTGGAGTAGCGGACGGCTGTTTGGGGAGGTGGCCTGGCTATTAACTGCTTTTGTAATGCATTAAAGTGCAGCTTATTTACTGGGCGCTGTCTTAACTTTCTTACTAGAGGTTGGTCTATTAAGGCAACTCTTGTTCTTACTGTTCTGATGCACGATGAGGTAAGTAGTTTTACAGGTAAGGAACATAAAATCCATCAGGTTGGATTAATAGAATACTACAGAAATAGTTGCTTTGTGTAGTGAATGTAAAAAATTCTTAAAATTCGGTATGTAGACTGTTGGAACCGCACAGATTCCATTTAAAAGGCGTACTGGTACCTTGTGACGGTAGAAAACACTTCAAAAATCCTGCAATCTAGTGTTCTTTCCTTATGAATATACAACTAATTGTTTGCAGTCTTCTACATTCAGTAATTATCGTCACCTAATTAAGCTTGTCTACGTTTACCTCAGGTTTGTCTTTGGTTTGTTGACAGAAACTTGGCTGAGTACTTCAGATATGTTTAGCGGAACACAGTGGCTCACCATAGACTTGCTCACTTGTGACTGGGTGGCTTGGGCTGACGTTTGCTTGCCAGGGTTACCTGACTGTCAGCTCACCAGCTGTGTGACGAGAATGTAGCTAAGAACCTGCAAGAACCCTCAGCAGTCCCAGAGATGAGAGAGTAACAGGGCTGGGAAAGCACTCACGTTGCACGAGACTGTTGGCTGCCCGTGCTTGTACTTGACACGGTTCAGCTTGTGTTGTATCCCAGAAGAACCTTGTCACTGATCCACAGTGCTTTCTTTGAGGCTAGAATGAGCTGAAGACTATACTTTGGAAGGGGACTTCAAAAATGGCATTTGTAATGAGCTTCAGAAGCTAACTGGTATGCTCAGACAGGTCTTTTTCATGTTTTACAGGTGCCAAATGCTATAGCATAAGTAATGTATGCTGACTTACTGCAATGTAAACTAGTGTTACTCCATCTGGAGTTAAAAAAAAAATCTGTATAAAACATTTGATGTCCATCATCAGGGGGAATGATTAAACACATTGTACTTGGGCCCAGATACTCAAAAGTGTTAGAAAACCAATTCAGTGATCTCCTCTTTTAAAAAGAGTCTGAGGATCTGGTAAGCCAACTACACTGTTATCTAAGAAAAAAAAAGAAAACGTGGTAGAAAGCTGTATGGTTTACTACCTTACCTAAAATAAATGGTGTATTAAAGCCTGGCATTGTCTTAACATTAGCTAGTTATTTTAGAAAGCACTATTTTAATTGGCTGTATTGGGGAAGAGTATCCAAGTTGTCTTTAATAGATGAATCGCAGTACACCTTGCATTTGCCCAGTAGTGCTACCTCCATTGTTTTTCTTTCTGAGAAAACAAGCCTTAAAAGGCAAATATTTGACAAATGTGGATGTTAATATTTGGGTTCTGTTGTGACATTTCTTGCTAGTCCTCGTTGGCAGTAGTGCTTTAAGCTGAAAGCAGGTGAACTGGTCTGTATTGCTGCCTATACTGTTGTATTATCCAGCATCTCTTCAAAGCTGCTGTGATTAAAGCGTGAATTGCGCTGGTGGGACACAGAGTATCTGCAGCAGCTGATAGTGGGGATAGGGGAAAGGAGCGACCACTGCTTGCTTTTACCTTCGATAAGCTCAGCCTTCTGTGGTGTGTTCCGAGGGACACAGGTTTAACACCAGGCCCACCTCACTGTCAGTTGCAAAGCAGAATAAGCCCCAGTGCATTGAAATGACTTCAGAAGGTCTTTACTGTTCCAGCTTGCTGCACAGATTGTTGTTCTTCACAGTGTTCAGTGAAAGCCAATGAAAAGGCTCTTAAGTGTCTCTAGTATCTGATATAATGGGAAATGCTTAAGTTTTATTTTAAAAAATGTCAACAAAGCAACATAACCAAGTCAGGTGCAAGCAGGAACATGAAAAGCTGTAAGTAAATGCCTATTAATATCTTCAGAGTGGCATTAAACTCCTCACCTTTCAGATAAAGTCCGTGTGGATAAGACTTAGGAATGAGAGTGGTGTGGCAGACAAAAGTCATTGCGTAACTTTTCTTGGGAGCAACTTCCTGTTCTACTGTAGTGAAATCGCTGTGGAGACTTTTTTTTACAGTACTTAGTATCTTTCAAAAAAAAAGTTTTTCCCTGCATGTATAAAACAGACAGCATTGGAATTCCATGCATGTCTGTTTTCTCACTAGTGCAAAGTTGTTATTTGATCAGCATTAAGTTTGGTAAATAATTTTTTTTTCCCCTGCTGGTTTGATTAAAGGCAAAGCAGCACATGAGTTATTGTACCTTTCTGGTGTTTTACTGACTGTCTAGTTTCTTTGCACTTTTGTGTTCAAGTGTTTTGTCCAGCTGAAAGCATGCTGAGATCCTGTGTTTGTTGTCTCTTACCCTTGGAACTTACTCATTCACTGGCTAAGAGTGGAATACTTAAAATAGCAAAACAAAGGGGGTTTTATTTTTATCATTAAGTGAGGTCTTCTCTGAAAGTTGTAATATCTTTTGTAAATCAGGTGCAGAAACACCCACTGAATTCAGTGCTATGATGTTCCAGGTAAATCAGCTTCCTGTCTATGGAAATGAAAGCAAAACAATTACTTTGGATTTACAGGCTTTTGTCACTGATACAGTTTGTGTTTCATGCACACGCTCAAGTTTCTTTTGAATTCTTGAGCAAAAAGAAGCTTTAACACACTGGGTGTTCTCTTGCAGCTGGCCCCCAGTATAAAACAAAGAAAAATTCAAGGATCTTACACTACTCAAGGTTAAATTTCTCTCTTCACCAACGTTCAAGGTAAGAGACAAAGCCATCAACTGAGAGGGGATACTGACAGACTTTCGTAAACCTTAAATGTTCACAGTACCTAATGCAATTTAACAAATCAGTATTTTCTTGGCATTGTTCAAATGGATTTAATTTTTATAGGCTAAAGGCCAAACGTAGGCATCTCAGAACCAAGGTGATTTGTGTCAGGTAAGAACAAAGGGCAGGTAATTTGTCCCTCCAAAATGTTACCAGGCTTTTTCATAAAGTCTTTTTGAGTATGCTCTGCCTGCTTCTGGTGCTGTGAGAACTGTACATACCTGCCCTTCAAGGCACTGCCCCCCTTCCTGCACAAGAGTCAGTACGTTTCAGTTCTGGTGTTGCTTCCTGGAGTCAGGTTTGAAAAATGACGCCTGCATTGACCTTGCTACAAACTGGAACAGAGTGCTGAAGGGACTTAATTTAGACCGTATTGCTTCTGTTTGAATCCCTTAAAGGTATTTTTTAGATTTAAAAACCGCTATTTTTCTTGTGATGCTACTTCTCCTTAGCATACTGAATGTATTTCTTAACCAAGTAAACCTCTTGGTGCTAAATCAGTTTGCTTCTCGGTAGCACCCCCATCTCTGTTGGCGACTTGCTGCGCTGCGTTTGCTGCAGTTTGTGTTCTCGGAATAGCTCACGCAATTGCATGTCAGTTCCTGTTGTGGGCCTGTCCGCTTTAAAGATGTAGTCAGCTGCTGATATTTATATTATGTACATGCCAGATAAGCTCAGCAATTGTTTCTCAACAGCTTCAGCCTTCTCGTGCTTGAATCTGTCAGGAAATGAGTATTTTTTTTTGAGATTCTTTGCTGATGATAGTAAAAAGCAGTAAATGCCCATAAAAGTTGGTTTCAGGTTGTTAGCTGCTGAAGGTAGTGTTTTTATTTCGATAGCTTTTACAGCCCTATTTAAGCAATCAAGTTTAGCTCATGGTTACACGCGATACGTATATAGCTGACAGGTATTGATCTCTATTGAATTTCACACAGAAGTCATCATGGTCTGTACGATTAAAGTTTACTATTCAGGCGCTCAGCTCTGGGCTTCACTGCGAATCCTCCGTCAAAAGCTGCGTTAAGAACTTCATCTAGACAGCTCGCCATAACAAAGGTCAAGTCTCGCCGTACGTTCTCTGCAATTTCTTCAAGATCTTTTTCATTTCTTTGAGGAATGATAATTCTCTTCAGTCCAGCTCGGTGTGCTGCCAGGACTTTGTCTTTAATTCCCCCAACCTAGGAAGGAGAAGAAATATATATATAAAATCCATGACTCTAATCTAAAGTAATGATTGTAACGAATCACCTCAGGAGTTAAATTTTAATGAAAGGTTCTTCCTCCCCCAGTCATTTAGGAAAGTAATTAAAAATGCAGCAGTAGTTTTAGCTCATTATATGCTTAATGAGGGAACTATGTTAATATGCTACAGTAGCCTGTCTGTAACAGTTAAAAGAGGGGAAAAAAAAATTTAATCAAGGAATGCAGGTACAAGAGTATCAATAGTAGAAAAATCATTAATTTTCTCGAATTTTTTTCTTAACAAAGATGGCCTTAACTCATTCTTTTCATACGGCATGCTGAAATCCTGCACCTACAGGAGGACAGAAGATTTTCAAGGTAAAAGCAGTATTGGGTTTAGGGGCAAAATAGCCTTAAAGATGCAGTGCCACGTGGTAAGTAACTGTAAGTTGTAACACAGAAAAGCAAACCTGAGCTCCAAAATGGCAAAGGTGGTTTTGTTCTAGAAGAATAATAAGCCACCTGTGTGAGTTTGTAGTGAGATGTAAAGAGGGGTTTTAAGTTTTTCTTTTAGCCACAGCTGTAGCTTCCTCCTCTTGAACTTTTTTCTAATGCTATTTAAAGACCATCTTTCTTACAGAAGAAACTTGTAATTTTATGATGCTTTAGAGGAGAGGGAAGCGTTGTGTTCTATGGCACAAAGGGCAGAATTTAGAGTTGTATAAAACAAGGTAGTGGTGAACTGTAAGTGCTTACGGTGATCAGTCCAGTCTGGACAGTGCCGCACACGTACCCCAGTGCTTGCTTTCAGGCTGCAGATGCAGTTAATGGTACGCCCACGTGGATTAAGTTACTGACAACAGTAAGATTCTAGACAACATCAGAAGGAAGGTGAACCTGGTTTAGTACTTACAGATACCTAATTCTGCACCCACCTTGAACAGCAGGCAAGATTTGGTCACCAGTGCAACTGGAAAGCTAAGCAACCTCGCACCAGGTTGGAAACCCAGTGTTTATTTTTCACTACAGCCTTGAACAATGGGCAATCTTGTCAGTCTAACTGCCACCAGAACGCTACTTCAGAGATCCTTCTCGGCTCCTACCTTACTGTGTTACCTCTGGTTTACTCTCTCCTGCATGAAAAAAATACTACATTCCAACTTTATCCTTCCTTTGTCCATCATTTGGTATGAGATCATAACTCCTGCATCTGCTTAATCACTTAGGCCAGGCTCCATTTGATGCCTGAAACTAAAGCTGTTTGTTCGAGAACTCTCCTCTGCCCTTGTGCTTTGAGAAGGCTTTGTGGGAACACTATTCAGCTTACATACAAGGAACAAAATCTAAGAAGAATCTAAAAATACACGTTCAGAGATAGCTTCAAGAGTAACCTACATGCAATTACTGTAAGAGCTTTACGAAACAACTTTTCAAAGAAAGCGGAGATACTTCTGAAGTAGTAGTTTGAGGAGGCATGTTTAGAAATAGCAATACATGTTTTGGAACCATCTTGAATTTTAAGATTTCGAGGTTTCCTTTCTAGCAAGACACTTCAATGTTCTGTCCGTGAAAACGGCATCAAGGGTAGCTTGAACATGACATGCAAAGCAGACCGAGGAGTTACCACAGTACGGCAGCAGACTGGCTTCCATCAGCCTCCTGCAACCGCACCAGAAGAGACTGGATTGCTGCTAAGGAACGAGCCAGCCGAACTCTCCTTTTGTAAATGGCTGTGAACAGATTTTATATCCAGAATATGGAGAATTAATACAACTTAGCTCTTTTCTCAGACGATGCTTACCGGAAGAACAAGGCCTCTTAGTGTAATTTCTCCCGTCATGGCTACATCCGAACACACCAGCCGCCCACTGAAGAGTGAAGCAAGACAGGTTACTATGGTAACACCAGCAGATGGCCCATCTTTTGTGACAGCTCCAGCTGGGAAGTGCAGATGGATGTCAGTGTTGTCAAGGAGATCAAAACTTCCAGAAGCTTAAGGAAAAAAAGAATGGTTCCAATGTGAAAAATCTAAACACGTTTTGTTCCTGGTCTTTACTCTAAAAGCCCACCAGAGAACTGAAAGTCTTAGTGCTGGTTTTTAACAGGAAGCTGAAAAAACAGCACGATATTGCAGAGGCCCTAGAAAAAAACCAGAAAACCCAACAAGGTTTCCTAAGGGCAGATTCCTAGGCAAAACCGTAACAAGTTAACCAAGAAGTTCAGCATTTGCCTATGTTGGGAAATTCAGAGTAGGGATTAATGTAGAAACCAAGGAATTCCTACACCGAATTTTTAGGTTTTTTTTATGTCTCAAACCATAAATGTCAATTTTCAGAGAACATACCACAAAACTGGCACTCCACAGAAACTCACCATTAACCGATATAAAAGTAAATCTCTCACTGAAATCTTTTCACCTTACTTAACCCGTACGACGTAACAGTGTAAACCAGAGAGGGAAACGTGTTCACCTTTAACACCAGCAGCATTTCATACATGGATTCAATGTAAATTTACAACTGTCTAAACTTCCACACACAATGACAGAAACTGGACGATTATTTGACTGTTCAGCAGACAATCAAACTAGAAAGCGCACTTCCAGAACGCTTGGGAGGTTCAAACAAGACAGTAACATGTTTCTTGGCTGAAATGCTATTGCATGGCAGTTCAACAGCTGCCATACAAACCCAACTAACTCTCAAAATATTAAAACTTAAGACTTTAAAACCTACTTTTAACAGAAACTGTGCCTTAATTTCAGAGGAAAACTGCAGACTTGAGTAGCTGTGTCCACATCAGAAAAGCACTGCTGGAAAGCTT